GAATTGGACATGTTGGGGGGGTACCCCTCGGTCTCATTTCTTGCTGGGTATATTCAATCCCACATCGTAACACCTCGAGATGTTTGAAATATTCCAGCTTCAGTACGGCTGGTATCATAGGAACCAGGGTTATGGTTCAATTTGGTTTGTGATAGAAATGAAAATGGGAACACTATTTCTTGTTGGTTTAATTTTCAACTTACTCCCTTTTCTGATTGCATCTGTAGATACCGTTATCCCAGAGGTTCGTAATGGGATCAAACACATTGAAGGTAGGTTATGATTTAAGCATTTTTTTCTTTGTATCAAGTATTTTTATATTAACCTGTGAATAAAAATTATAATTTTTAACATTACTTTAACTTCTTATGAGGGTAATTCCAGAAGTTAGGGGTCCCTGTTTTTTTTCGTGTCCCTGTCACATCTGACATGTGATTTTGTAAGTTCAGAACACATTATCTAATTTATAAGAGTGATGAATTGATACAAATTACATGCCAAACAAATAGTAATAGTTTGAAATCAATTAAGTCAAATAAAAAAGATCGGATGTAACATGGACAAGAAAATGTTACACTTTTGGACCCCTAATTTCTGCCCAGGAACAAAACTTTCGATTTTAGGCCTCAGTTTGAGAAACTTGCTTGCATTTTCCTTGTGATTTTAAAATCAAAACGGCTCCCAATTGAGTGAAACAATAGATGATCCCAACAATAGCATTTCAGTATATCATGGCTAGAGCTTATTGTGAAGAAGTAACTAAATTTATTATTATTAACCTCAAATATGTCGAGCAAACCGTTTTGATTTTATTTTCACTATTTTTATAACCATAAAAGATTAGGAGTTCACAGTTGGACAACCAAATCTAAGCTTACAGTGGTAATTTTCCAAATCCTTGCAATGCAAGATGTTCTGGCAGGACCACTTTAAAAATAGAAAATGTAACGGTATTCTTGTCACTTACCGTGACCCCAAAAATTCTTTTGTCTACTTTAGATATCTGCATTGGTTGTGGGAGTGCAGCCTTGACAGCCCAGCATCCTTTTTTCATTGGTGGTCTGTGCGAAGTCTGCAGAGTGAGTCCAGATCGACTTCTTTGTCTTCAAATTGCCAGTTGGCGCAGTGTGTGGATCCAGGCAGCTCTTTCTCTCGTTCACAAATATTGCTTACCATCTTGTCTGGGCGACCAAAGTTTGGAGCAAGTTTGCTTGGCAACAGCTTCAGCCTCATAATGCCCATTTGCCCCTCTAGTGTTAAAGAGGGAGGCATTTTTATTCAGTTTAATTATAGTACTGTTTGGTATTTCTTAGTGTAGTCAGCTGCCTAAGATTTTTCACACATTGGTAATTGTTCGTGCCAGCAATAGTTTGCCAACCACTGGTAGCCAGAGACTGTGACTGTGATGTAACAAGAGATCTGTTGTCAAAATCTGGGCAGTTATGCATTGCTTACCATTTTGTCTCTGGTCTTACAGGTTGAGTTTGTAGAGATGGCCTACGTGTACGACGAAGATGGTTACCAGGTATGAGGCACCTCAAAATGCATGGTGCTCCAAGCACAGTCTGGGGAATACAGCCCTCCTCAGAACTCAGTGAATGGTGTTTCAGCCGTGTCTTGGGAAAGTTGTGTTAAAAACAATCCAGCTCAAAGTACATGTATCTTAGTTTGGTCTGTAATCTTTTTTTTCCCCCACAAAATTTACCTGCTAAATATCTTGGATCCTTTCTGTGTATTTCTAGTTGATGAAAGAGAAATCTAAACTCAGACACGGCAAATTAAACTGAAGAAAAGTGAAAAGCACCAGTAAGGAAGCTGCTTCTAAAATATCAGTTTCTGACAAAAGTAATAATTTTCATTTTACCCTTGAGCTGGTAGCACTTGTGACATTGCTTACCAAAAATTTTCAAAATTGAAGTAAAAGTACTGCAGATTTTTTATTTGTTCAAGCTTTACACTGTCTGTCTAAGCTTAAAGCTGACTGTTCTTTTCAGAGCTTCTGTTGCATCTGTGCTGAGGGGAGTGACATCATTTTGTGTGACCAGCCAGAATGCTATCGTTCATTCTGCCACGACTGCATTGAGCATCTGGTGGGCCCTAGCTCCGTCAAAGAGGTGAGATTCCTGATACGGTCTAACCTCATTAATAAGAGCACCGTTAATACAGGATTCAAACTCCTTCTGAAAGTTCTGTGCCCTTCCTTTATGATTTTTCCAAGCTGGTGATAGCTTTTTCCCTGTTCCCACTCGGCAGATTCTTGATGAGGACCAGTGGAAATGCTTCATGTGCAAACCCGAGCCGACCACCGGCCTGCTCACCCGGCGCCCCGACTGGCCCCAGAAGCTGCTCTTGTTTTTCCAGCAGGATCGCAGCCAGACCTTCCCACCCATGAAGACCTATCCCCCCGTGGAAATGGATCAGCGTAAACCCATCAGGGTTCTTTCGTTGTTTGACGGCATTGGAACAGGTAGTGATGATCGACCCCTGTTGTTAAATTTCAGTATCTGTTCGTATGTCTATATTTCTAACAAAGAATCACAGGTCTTGATTTCCGCCAGTTTTTCTGTCAGTATGATTAACATGGATGTAGAGCCAGATCACAATCTTCGAGATTACAGATTTGAGTCCTGCCTCCTGTTTTGTTCTCTCCACATTGTAATGAAGCTTTAGTGATTGTCACAGTGCAATCTGTTGATACTTACCGTGAGTGGATCTCGGTGAAATGCGGTTATGTCATTGAAAATCTCATAGTTGATAGCAGATGCATGAAATCGGCTCTCGGAGTTTGTCTGCTTGCTGTTTTTATGACAACACCCCCCCCCTTTTCATTCAAGGCATGCTGGTCCTGAAGGAACTGGGTCTGAAGGTGGACTGTTACTTCGCCTCGGAGATCAACGAGGAAGCCATGCAGGTGTCTTCGGTGCGTCACGACGGCATCATCCAACAGCTGGATGACATCAGGAAGATCACGGCGCAAGAGGTAAGACGGGAGCCAGAGGAGGTAGATTGCCCTTACTGGACCCTTAATTGGGGAAACAGTCAGAATGTAACTTGTGATGGATGTAGGTAATGTCTTAAAGAGCGACAGTTGACAAAGCTCATGGAATATTACATGGGTATACATTCATTTGGAATATATCATGTTGCTTGTGCATTATTAGAAATAGTTGAACTCCTCTGAGTATTTTTTGTATTTACCTTTAAATGTGCAGCATTACAGTCTTGCTACTTCCAAATCACTATTCATGTTACGTAAGAATCATGTTAATGTAAAGAATTCTTGTATTTCCTTGGAAACAGTTGTATCTCTGGGGCCATTTGATCCCAGCCATGGGCCATTCTTGTTATATATGAGAATCTGGAGTTTAATGGAAGCAATTTTTTTTTTATCCTTCTATGAATAAGATTCGTTCTCTTGGGCCATTTGACCTATTAATTGGTGGCAGCCCCTGCAATGATCTCTCCATTGCCAACCCGGCACGCAAAGGACTGTTTGGTAAGTTTTTGCTTAGCTAGCAAGTTTGTTAATAGATCAACTGCATTTGTCTCAACCACTTGCTGCCAGGGAGCCTGGTTTCGGGTGCCTTGGGTTTGTACACATTGCTTGGTTGCCTGAAATCGGACAAAAGAGCTGGCCTTGTAACAAAAGACCTTACTTGGAACAAAAGACCGAGCTGCGGGGAATTGCTAACATTTTTTCAGTTGTCAGTAGGGGAGGAAATCCATCTTTTTTTTGAACAGTATACCACTGTTTGTGGTATTCAGGGCAAGCGGATTACCACCAGGGACAAAAGCACTCCAGCACTCCAGTGATGAGTGATGCAATACCGCTGCACACTAATCTGGCCCGTATGGAAAAGACGCCAGCAGTGCACTGTGCCATTTTCGGGAACAAAAGAAACTTAGGTAACACCACACAATCTGGGCTCTTTTTACACGACGGCAGGCCTGGCTGAAATACTCGGGCATCAACAGATGTTGTCTGTCAGATTAAAGTAGCCACCAGACAGTCACTCCATGGGGTTTAGGCATTCAGGAAAAAAGATATGAATTTTTGAAAAATTTTGAAAACCGAAGATAATGAAAATTGCCTGGTTTTAGACACTGCATTTCCAAAGGCACCCGGAAGCAAGTGGTTAACCCTGCCTGGTACTGGCTTACCATCAGAATGTGTCTGTCTCGGATGCTGACACGAGACTTTTCTTACAGTCTTACGAAGTTGATAATATAATATGGTTCCAGGTTGGAAACAGGTATTTTACGTCAGCTGGTAGCAGACTTGCTAGCCTTTGCACTAATGTTGAAACCCAACATCTTATTCATTTTATAATCTCACAGTGACAAAACATTACACATTTCTCCTTTTTTTTTTCAGAAGCGTCTGAGGTATACAGTCAGTGACTCCAATAGTAGCTCAGAGCTGACTTCAGCCGTTTCCTTTTTCTTTCAAATCAGATCACAGTTTGCATTTTGTAATCAAATATTGCAAGTTGCGTGACTGTAATGAGAGAGATTTCGTTTAGGAATACTGCCTCAGTGCCATCTAGTGCAGTTAACATCATATTTTGTTATGAGTTGGATAATTATTCCTGCGAAGCCGAAACTTTCCTGGGCTCAGCATTTACACTGCTTTTCGCTTAATCCTTTACATATTGCATTGCTAACATTTCTTGCTGCAGCAGGGACTGGTCGTCTGTTCTTTGATTTCTACCGTCTCCTGACAGTCGTGCGCCCCAACGCTGACAGCCAGCGCCCATTCTTCTGGCTGTTTGAGAATGTGGTCGGGATGCCTCACCAACACAAAATGGAGATTTCAAAATTCCTGGAGGTAGGCCAGCGTCGTCCTAAAAAAACCTGCATCAATTAGAACTCAGATTGCATGACAGATTCTAGAAATTTTTCCAAAAGAATCAAAATTTTACAACTATCACCAAGAATCCTTCTACATTACTTACTTGCCCCAAATCATGTGATATACTCTGTGTTATATCACAGAATCTAACTTCCTGCAAGCATAAAAAACTTGAGATACCGGACAAATACAACATTTTATAAAGGTTAAATATTAGTTTTTTTTTTCCCCCTCTTTTTTGCAGTGTGACCCGGTGGTTGTTGATGCAAAGGATGTCTCGCCAGCCCACAGAGCCCGTTACTTCTGGGGCAACCTGCCTGGCATGAACAGGTCGGTATCCATGGCAACAGGTGGCCATAAACATCTAAAAGTGGATGCACTTAGACCATTGGCTTTGATGTGTGGGGATGTAATTTCTCGTCATTTGACTGAAGTTTAGAAATGAACTAGAAATTAGCTTAATTCTGAGAAGTAGAGATCTCAATACATAGATCATATTTCATTGATTCTTTTCTGAATACCCGCATCCTTGTTTTGGAACTCATACCCCCCCCCACACTTATTTTTGCTACCAAGACCCAACATTGCCACAGACAAGAACGCACTGTGCCTTCAAGACTGTCTGGAACCCAATTGCAACAGGCAAGCCCAGGTAGGAAAATGTGGGTAGATGTGGTTGGATAGCCAGGTGCACAATGTCAGCAAATGGGCTTTCCTCTTCTACTGACAATTTTTGTTTCTTTTATTGTCCTTTCTCCAAAGGACTGAAGAATTGCAGTTTGTCTGTGTGAATGCTCGTGTATTGTTGCTGAAAAGACTGCCTATTTTACCAAAAAACAGAGATATTGTTCAATGGTTGTTCTTGAGCAAGTGAGCTGAAAGACGAGTGGACACAGCAGTTCTGAGTAACATTGACGTCGCATACAGAACCTTTTAAGATGAGATTTATCAATGTGACAATTAATTACATTGTAGGTTTTGAAACATTTGTATATTTTTAAGGAAACTTGAGGGCTTACAAACAACAATTCATGGAGGATGCCCCCCCCGTCTCTTCAAAAAAGTCCCAAGTGTGTCTATTGGAAAGTTTTTTTGACCTGTGAAGTTCAGCTTTGATCTGTTTTGTGATAGTTCTCCAAGGTCCGCACAGTCACCTCCAAGCTGAACTCCATCAAGCAAAAGAATGAGCAAGTGCTGCCCGTCCTGATGAACGGACAGGAGGACGCCCTCTGGTGTACAGAAATGGAAAGGTGAGCAGTGCTTTCCCCTATCATTGTTTCATTTTGTGCCTCCGTGTATTAATGAATAAGATTGGTTTTCAAGCCATACTCCGTTATAAGAGTGGTTAGAGTGACACTTTCCAGCAGCATGTGTGAAAAAGCTGGTAGGTTAGCCCAGCCTGAGCTGAAATTCATTGCCATAGCACCAAGATTTTGAAGATGGCTACGCTTGCCTTGCTGAAACCACCAGCAGGCTAATGAGCTACTGGACTCTCTACATAGAGCAGTGGAGGCCAGTGTGGGGGCCTGTCTGGACTAATAAGGGCACTCGAACCACTGGACCTTGGCCCAATGAGCAGATTAATCTTTGGGACCAGTTTGCAACTGAATGTGTACAAGTTGGAGAAGAAAAGAGAAAGAGCATCTTCAGCACAGTGGGAAATAGTGACCACGTGTCCTCGAGTAAAGGTAGTTGGAATCTTTAGAGTTGAAGATGCAGGCCATAATCATGCTAATCAAGTTAATTATGCATGGTCCATCTGTTCATAATGAATCTTGTCACGCTTTGGGTTTGGCAGGATTTTTGGCTTTCCCGACCACTACACAGACATTGCGAACATGAGCCGCACCTCACGCCACCGGCTAATGGGTCAGGCATGGAGTGTGCCAGTCATCAAACACCTCCTGGCTCCACTCAAGGAGTACTTCACCTGCGAGATGCACCAGTAGAGGCGACCAGTGCAGGCAACCTTGCTTACTGACTTTCTTTCGGGATGGTTCGAGTTGGATGACTAGCTGTGTATGCAGTGCCAGATTTCAGTCCAGTGTTTTGTTTGCATTAAGCTATGATGACGTTGTGCAGAGGTGATTTTTTTTAATGCATGGATGGCTTTGGTGTATTTCACCAGGGTAATATCCATCTTGGAAGTTGGAAGTTTGTGGTGTTCACTAGTTATGTTTAATATTATGCATGAACAAATCAGGCGAAAATGAACAGTTGTACTGAGATGTGCAAAATGCTTGGAAAAATCTAACTTTTGGTAGTTTGTTCAGATTAGTTAGAATGTTTGAATGGAACACAGATTCTGGAAGGACTTCCGAATATTTGCAAAGGGCAAACGTTTATCAGTTTTCTTGCTTGGAATTCAACATTTCGTAAAGCTAGGATCCATATCTGTGCAGCATGATGGATTTATCATTTCGCATCCCAGGAATAAGTGGAAGAAGTATTTCCTTTGTCTACCGGAATAATACACTTTCTACCCTTGAAACGGTCATCATATTCAAATCGGATTCTAACATTAAAAGAGGTATCATGCGTCAAAGTTCCCGAGTCATCACATAGATTCTGACATTGGTCATCTCAGGAAATTGAGTTTTATATTTGTTACATCTTTTTTAAAAATCAAGTTTTCATAATTGGCCAGAAAAGCTGCGTTTCAGGGATCCTTTCTATTTTCATACTATTACCTCTTCGTAATATTCATTTCTCAAGTTTTTATTTTTTCATATAAAGAGTTATATGCATGAAAGTTTATTAAAACCAAAAAGGTGTTATTGTACAATCATATTTTATTATTGTAATTTATAAAATCAGTGTTTATTTTTTCAGATCAAACTAAAAAGCAAGAAGCTGCAAAATCATAACTGATTTGACATATTTTTAAATTGATACAGGCAGAACTTATGAAGCAACATTATCTTTTCAGAAAATGATCGCACAAAATATACAATTTATCGACTGGACCGAAAGCAGAGCTTAGATGATACCATAACATAAGCTTAGAAATTAAAATTTCCACTTTATGCAGATATTCTCAATAGCTGTCACTGACACTAAACGAAGACCCCCAAAAGTGAAATAGTGCTAGCTCAACCATGTTTTTAGCTTTAGGAGAAAACAGCACAAAGTACAAATAAACCTGCTGTTGTCACATTCTGTAAACTTGTAAGCTTCAATATAAAAAAGAAAATCCCTTAATTAAGTACGGTTATTTTGCTTGTTCCAACTTGCCATTTTGTGTTTTCCATAGTTGTAACTTTTTCAGTATTTCAAAGTTTTGGAAGTTCTAATAAAAGTATACTTTTGCTTAAAGGACACGCACGTATCTGAACTTTATTCATGTGGTCAAAACTTGGAATTTCTCAAGGAAGTAGAAAAAAAGAGATAATTTTTAGAGAGGTGATACCTCTGTGAGGTTTGGCTCCTGTTCATTGGGAAAGAAAAAATAAGGTCTACACTGTATGACCTGTGGGCAAGATTGAGACAACCTTGAGTGATAACCTTTGGCCGATTATCCCGAGCACAAACTATATCCCGAGTGCCAGGCAACCTTGACAAGTGGTTCACAGGTAGTTATTACTACAACTTGCCCTGTGATGCAAGATCCTTGTGCTCTGACATTTGACCTATGATGCTGACCTTCCGCGCTTCCCCCTCCTCTGCTCCCTGATCTTCCTTTTGGCGTATTTGGGCAGGTCCCAGCTTTGGCTCTTGATGTACCCCTCCAGGCTCTCCAGGGAGACAGGAGGCAGATAGCTCCTCAGGAACTTTCGGCTCCACCAGGCGCCCTCCTGTGACTGCTGGCTGCCAATTTTGGTGTACTGGTAGCGATAGTGCAATGCTCGGACGAACCTGATAAACGTTGACAGTGAATCCTTCTTTTGAACATTACCAATTTCAACAAGAATTCCTGGGTTTATTCTCATGCCTACTGAGACTGAAGTGGCAAATGTCGCCAACAAAAAACAACAAAGAACAGCAGATAATTGAAGGCAATGAAGAAACAACAGCGAAGTTGAAGTATGTGGGGTAAAACACTCTGAAGCCGTGCTCAAAGTGACTTGGTCTCTGGAAACTTGCATTTCAACGCTACCTTCCTCACAGTGAAAAAATGTTTGCAGAGGCGACTGACCTTGGCGGATCACCATCCTTGAACGGATTGTGTGCTACCAACGACGTGACCCCTTTATCATTGTAGAGGAACTTGCCAGCAAGGTGCACCAACCATGGATTGGACTCGTAACTCTGGTAAGTGGACAGGAAGAAATATCAAGAAAAAAAAGGGACAGAAAGTATAATTGAGGATAGGACTTTAGCAAAAACGTTTTTTCATCTTTCAGTTTAACACCGTGTCTCCAGATAGGTGGTAAAACAGTCTACTCGGATGACCAGAACAGCTGCTCTATGAAAGAGCAAGAGTTGCTGGGAACCTCTGAATCCTACCTACATCATACTATGCACCAGAAACCAACGGTACATCCTTTCCACAAAGAACTGTTCATATGGCATCAAGCCCCGAGTGAAATAACACTCGGTAATAACCTCCTCAATCTAACAAAATTCTCCAGAACCTCGTGGTAGATGTTTGAAGGACCAGGAAGGATGGAAATCAACAGTGAACAAGGTTGGCTTAACAAATGGTGGGCACAGATGTCAAACTCTCCACTTCTACCGGTGCCTTTGGTGATCCCAAAAGGGAAATCGTTCTGACTGATGCATTTTAATTCTTTAAAGCCACAAACTTCTTTTTTCTCCTTATCTATTCTTAACTCAAAAGTTTCCATCAGGCTGATTGGACCATAGATATTGATCACAATTGCCCGGATGAGTTTGGTGAAGAAGCAATGACCTTCTATTGTAAAATCTAATTGAATAAAAATGACGAGAGTATCTTTATCAAAACCGAAACGTACCTGGAAGGCCGCAAACCACATGAGCCAGTCCAGCCTGTAGTGGTACGGTGAGATCAGGCAGGGCCTACGAGTCACATTCCCTGGCTTACACTTAAACTCATACTCCAGCCAGACGGCGCTGGGGTCCTTGGGGTTTGTGGCATAGGTCCCTTCAAAGATGACCTCGGTTCTTTCTTTGGTGACACTGGGGAAATTAAGTAATGGGGCATGTGAAAGTTTGGCAGGAGGATCACGCTGCTTTTTGTTCGTATTAGCAATTCTGTCCTTTCTGGCCAGGGGTTAGTGCCCGCTAGGGTGCTGCAAAAAATCACGATGAAACCACAGAATTCAGGGCTGTTAGGGTTAGTGGATACTTTGATGAAGTCTCTGGAGTGTTTGGAATAAACATTTCAGAAAATAGGCTCGAGAAGCCTTGAATCAAAATGCTTTCCTATTGGCTTTGTGCACACCTAGAGAGGGCGCTGTATGCTATTATAATGAGAAACAGGTGAGGGCTCAACTTGCATGTTCACGCCTTTGTTCCCACGCATGATAGCAAGCCAGGTATGTGAACTATGGAAATAGAATCAATTTTTCAATGTTTCAGTTCCGACTCTTTCAGAAAAAGTAGAATTGTTTGCCCAGTGGTAACTTACCTTCCGAACGCCCCATAGGTGTTGACAATTCTCAATGGGTCAAAGGAAGTGTTCATGGCTTGCCTGGTGGACAGCAGGTTGGTCACGACAGGTACACTCAAATATACAATCAGCACGGCCAAGTTTATGTGTAACACTCGCCGTGCATACACACCTAGGAAAGAGAAATGGAAGGACTACTGCTACTCACTTCTCTTGAATTAATCATGGCTATACCTCAGTTGACTTGTTGGATCCCCATTCTGAAGGCATTATCAGATGAAGTCTTTCTAAAGTTGCCCAAATCAACCACTGTGCCCATGACACTTTCTCTGGGCACTGGGATGCCCAGCACCTGTGTATTGAACGGTGGCACTTGACTCTACAGTCCAAAGTTCGCTGAAACAATGCAAAAAGACAAGCTACACTTTGGTGATTAGAAACCATTTTCTCAAAATAAAAAATAACCAAAGTTGGCCAGTTTGGCAAAGCTGCAAGTACTGGTATTTAAAAAAATTTAAAGAAGTAAAGCAGTTTTTCTGTTAAATTATTCCGACAACTCTGGATTTCAACAGCATAAATGATCACAGAGGCTTTCAGGCACGTCAGTACTGCCTCTTACTCCTACCAATCATATGACCTACCAAATGTAGCCTTTGGTCCCGTCCCCTCCCTCTCCTCCCTCTGTATCTGCCTCACTGTCGCACTGGCACTGCTCATCCAGCCAGGGAAGAGCCAGGCTAGGCTCCTGTCATCAAAGCAACAGATGTTGGGCAGTATGGTCAACCAGTTGAGGAAGCTCAGGTTACCGCTGATGATGAGTACCACCTGAGGGGAGTTTTGTACACAATAAGGCTGTTTTGGAAAGGAGTTGATTCGGCTTAGACTTTGGTGTTGCTGGTTGCAGCCACTTTGAAGCAGTGTTTGATAATAATAAGGTGGCTGATCTCTAGACATTGAATTTACTAAAATGTTTACGGACCCATCTTTCATTTGCAAAAGTTCTGCTCAAATTAGACAAACATAAATACAGTTAAAGAGGTGATTTCAAAGGTAATGCAGCTAGAGTCAAATTCAAATGGATGTGGCTTGGAGTAACGCTCAAGTTTATGGAAAAGTGGCTGTCAGTCACTAGCCAGTGACTTCTTTTGGTGCATGTGCTGTTATCAGCCATAACTACAACCTTAAGACAAGGTCTACTTTTTTCTGTGTTCTCTCATTTCCCGAAAAAGAAAGTCGGGTACCTGTCCTACCTGGAAGAAAATTTGAATCCCTCCGGCTAGCATCATGGTTGGTCGCCATGGGATCAAGAGAAAAATGGGGGTGACCAGCTCAATGAAGTGATTGGACAACGTTTCAAATTTGTGCATAGCCTCGGGAGACTGGTGTAAGTAGTAACTGATGGGGTTAGGGACTGGTTGAGTCTGTGAGAAGAATAATAGGGATTGACAGTGATAAGTCCTTGCACCCGACATATGCAATTTATGAAAACCCTTTTGGAAGTTGAAAAAGTAGTTAGGACAATTCAGTTGAACTCTGATGAGCATTTCTCTGTCTTTGTTCACATTGTTACTTCTGACTTATCTTCCAAATAGACTTGCGATGGACTCGACAACAACACTGCTCTTTCGAGTCTTTCCTTAGGGTTGACTTTCAGGTTTCAACCCGTAGGCCTCGTGCAAACCGTCACTTCAAGAAGTAGAATCAGTAGTAGAGGTTAAACGAGAGGATGTTGCTTTGGCATGGTTTCCATACCTCATAGTGGTAATTCATGCAGGTCAGATTCCGCCAACACTCATCCCCTCGGATTTTGATTAATCCCTAAAAATACGGGAACAAGAAGAAGTTAAAAATCACAGGTGAATTCTCCCATCTAACTTACACAAGTTCACCATTAGAGAATGCAAGAGCATACGATAATATCTCAGTTCAGTTTCGTGCATGAAAAGCCACAGTTACATAGTTTTGTCAAATTCTTTGCCACAAGTTAATCACCCAGACGTACAAGAAACCAGAACACCCCCCCCCATAAACATGACATCAAAAATCAAATCACCGCTCCGATCATGATTCTGAAGATCAGCCACCTGTACCCCCAGAGGGTGACCAAGGGGGTCGGGGTGCGCCGAGGGAACTGGCGTAAACTGAATAAGGGGCACATGAAGATAGCAAGGAAACCGGTCTCCAGGAGCTGGGATTCCCAACCTGTTCCAGAAAGCAAGATAGAATGGCATATTAATAACTGGTGTTCAGTATAAATGGGGGGGGGAGGGAATTGTGGAGGGCTTGTGTCCTTGAGCCTGACATTTCAATATAACTTAAGCAGACAGTGCACATGATGGGCGTTGAAAGAGAGTCTACTGCCCATTGACCCACAAATAAAACTCTGAGGTTTATACACAAGCAGTGGATAGTGGAAATAGGACCTTGAATGTACCCTGACCAGAGTAAGCCAACCTTTGGAAGACACCTACCCAATGTTGGCAATGTTATTTTCTTATTCTCCTCTGGTTACAACTGCACTGACTTGATTAAATTGTGATCTGAAGGGACATCGGAAGTCAACTGGCAGTCAGGAGGCCTAAGATTGTCGCCTTAGGACCATATCCGTGCGCAATCTGTATAAATATGGTTAGATAGCTATTATAGTGAACCACACTGTATTAATGGGGATTGCTCACTACCTCTTTGAAGTGTTTACTGGCATTCATGAGAGATTCTTGAAATCTTACCAAATGAATACCTGAATATCAAAAAGAAATGAAAGGAAGCCAGTGTTATGATGTGAAAAATTTTGAGCAGTTTCATCTGGGCAGATAATCATGATACAATTACCCCAAAAAGCCAATTGATTGGAATGGCATATGAGGGCAGCATTGCAGTCAAATCCATCACAAGTCCATTACAAGACATGTAGCTTTAACCCCTTTGCGACGGATGACGGTCAGAGCCGCTGTAAAAATTGAGATCCTCAGCCCGCTTTTCAGCTATCATTCTCGGCCCACACTCGAGCGAACAAAATGAAAGAAGGCAGACCCTGGCTCTTGTATATATGGTGATTGGCCTTTGTGTGTAGCCCAGAAACGAAAAGACCAAATTTGCATCATAATCACCAGCTTCACAATAGTCCCCGCTTTGAAAAGAGGCAACGGGAATGTGGAAGCGTGAGTAGAGCCGCATGCCACCGAACAATGAGCCTTGTCACTGAGTAATTCAAAACGTGCAGAGCACGCAGGGCCACAAACCGAGAATTTGCAGTTTGGCAGGTGACCTTCGTGGCCAAGCGAGGCTGGAATTCTCGGAGTTGGCTTTCAGAAAACAGTTCCCGTCGTCAAGGGGTTAAACCAAATCACAAGCTATTAAAATGAACTGTGGTGACAGCATTCCTTTGTCACCGCTTACCCCGCCTGATTGGTCTTAAGAAAGGACCTGTGACTGGACTTTATAGACTCAACTACAACACTGTGCAGAGGTATCTACTATCTAGGCACAAAACTAATACAAAAGGGGACAGAATTTGAAATGCTGCTTTATCGGAATGTTGTCCTTAGATCTATATGAAACAGAACTTATATCTCTGGCGTTTTTTATTGGAATTTATATTCAGGAATGTCTCATTTCCTCACCACTTCTGTCCGACGCCTACTAGGGAGTGATATAATAGCCACAGTGTTGCCATGACGACCATGTTGGCACTTCCAAGCAAAAGCACGAGCGCAGACAATGCAATGCCAGCGTACGCCAACACATCCAGCCAATAATCAACAGTGCCCTCCGTGTCCACAAACCACAGGACTGTCGGAGCGAAAGAGAGAGCCTGTGTATTGACTGTGCCACCGACGTAGTTTTTGATGCGGTCAAGGTAGAGACGGGTTGGAAGGAGTCCATCTTGGCCAAAGAGCTGCTTATTTTGGTGTAAGGCAACCAGGAATGCAGTCACTGCATGAACGAAATGATACAAAAAAATAAGTTGCAATGCGCACATATCTACCTTACTGATGTTCAAGGTGGTAACAACATTACTTTCACTGCTCCCTAGGTCCGTGAACATTCTTCACAACGATTTCAGCTCCCTAAGGAGCATGCAGCTCAATCAGCCTCGACGCTGTCACTACAGATGCCAACAGCTAATCAAACGATCTACAGCTCTCACAGGTGCCAAAGTTACAACCCCTGAGTGGACAGAGGCTAGTAAGGGTAAATTTACTCGGCCCAAGTCACAGCATGTGAACAGCAGCTGGATTTGAACCTCCGACCATCAGGAGTCTCCGACAGGAGTCTCAAACCCTCGCCACTAGTGTACGTGCCTCCACTACACTGCAGGCAAGACGAAACGTTGAATGATGGGCTGCATTTCGTACAATGTCTTTTTCTCGTTAGAAAATATGTTTGAATTGTTACTGTTTCGGGAAACAAGCACATTAAAAATATCAACAAACTCTTCACTTTTAGAAAATCGTCTGGAAAATGAAAACGTCATTTGTAAGTAAATACTTAGACATTTTCTACGCTAAATTTGCCTATTAATTAAGGACTTGTTATCACTTTCTGATGACTGATATACCACTGTAGGGTCATCACTGATGCGTTTTTATAGCTCCATGGTAAACGGAAGTCTTGCAGAGAAAAATCTCTTTTTTGTTATCTGCTCTGGAAAGAAGTTGTATTCTACCTCCAGTTCTCTCATCATATACTACACCCGTAAACAGGGCCCTTTGTCGATACTGGACATACACAGGGCCCTGTTTACAGGCCTAATACTATATCATCTCAATAAAGGTAAACATTGCCAAAAAAGACATGAATCTGCGACTGAGACAAATTTCAAATTTGGAAAGAATTACATCTACGGACGCCACAGGTTTTTCCCTACAGTGATTAACTATTAGCCAGCTGAAAGCATACATGTACAATAGCTGACAGTAATAACGAGTCCTAAAAAGTCAAGTATAGGCCTAGCGGTAAAAACATTAGGGATTGCATATCTGGGGACCCCCCCCACACAGTTTTTGTCATTTCAATCTCATACAACTGGTCAGCCCCTCAAAGAACAAAATGCAACACTCTATTTCGCTGACCCTATTTTTGGAAATTTCATATTGTCAATTGTGAGAAGATGCGACTTTTTCTTTACTGCTATACCAGCCATGCAAGTGTGACTCCACTTCATGTCATATGTTAAAACACTCACAGTTCCCCTCATAATTTCCCCCCTTACTCAAAACCCTGCCCTCTTTCCACACCATCAACCCTACAGTTGTTAAGCATGATGTCAAAGTCATCTACTAAGGTGAATCCAAAAGTTAAAACACACATCTCTCTTTTATTATGAACAGGTTCCTCAAATATACAATCCCCAAACTATTGGTTACTTCGCCCACTTGCCACTTCGCCCATGTGCCACTTCTTCTACGGCCTTTGTCAAAATTAAAAATGACAGGAGGTCACATCAAATTTTAAAACAACAATCCAACCCTTCCTGTATCTATTCTGAATGAATGGATACAGGAAGTTTTTAGAAGTTCTAGCTCTTAGAATTAGAGCTGTCCTTATGCATCTGGGAATTTTTCCGATTTCCATGAGGTCTCAATGCATGCTGTTGGCAAACTTGTAGCACTGTGACAGAACAATGCTTGTTTTGAAAATGCTTTCATTTTGTCCAAGTCTTGATGCTTTATTGTATCCGAAAACTTGCAAACAATAAACACGTTATAGGATGTGGAGATTTGTTGATTAATGACAGGCCTACGTGCTTGTGAAATTAGCGCATGCATCACGCGAAATATTGCGTGGGCCCTCGAGTAGGCGAAGTGGCATGTGGGCAAAGTATGTGTGGGCAAAGTGGCAAAAGGGCGAAATGATGAATGGACAAAGTGCAACAGGTGACGGAAGGAGCGAAGTTTAGGCGTAAAAAATTCGACAAGGAAAGGACGTAAAACAGTATGACACGATGGGTAACGGCAGCACGACGTAACATGTCGTGTGTGTACAAACGTAATGGCAAGATGGTGATGATGCAATGCCACGGTAGGCCTACCCACAGAACTCTGGGGTCCGACGTCCGCTCCGCTCCCATGTTCGGGAGCAGAGCAGACGTCGGACGCCACAGTTCTGGGGGAATGCCCCAGCACGACGCAAGGGAGCCAGGGGCAGGGAGCCGTTGTCATGGTTGTGCTGCTGCGCATCGTGTAGTTACGTCGCCTTGGAAGAGGCTAGAGAGAGGCAGAAATGTGTGTCGTAAATGGTGCACCATGGATGTACAAAACACGCAAAAAGTTTTAGGCCAGTCATATGTCTGTTGTTTTTATCCTTCATCCAGGCCAAATCTTGCGCTGCTGGTGCGCGCGTGTGGAGTCACTCGTACTCACGATAAACAAACGCAAGCGATCGGAGAAAAACGATGCGGGTTAACCAGTATGAATGAGGCTCCAAATCGATGCCCTTTTCGACATCTTCAGATGAATTCGTCTTAGCATCTCCTGAGTTGCTTTCTAGTGTGGAAGCTGGCTGTTTAAGTTCTCCTCCTAAGGGTTCACAGGCCTGTTTTCTGCGACGAATGTCTGTTGCTTCGTGAGCCATGGTGGCTTAGCACTGTGGCATGCGCCTGTTTTGCAAAATGAGCACGAGGGCGCTGTTTACGTCCTTTTTGCACGTTGTAAGTAGCTCATAGTATTTAATATGCAATATCAAAATTTTCAAAATTTGAAATAAAGCCAACATTTGATTCTTTGAAATAAGGCACAAATAAGAACTAAGATTTTACAAAAAGCATAAATTTTAAGCTTTTCAGTTAAAATCCCCACTTATTTCTGTGTACAAAATGATCAGTTTGCTCTGCATTACGTGTACAAAAATAATCTCAAAGCATCTTCAAATCGATATTTTTTGCTCTGCACACAGAGTCCAATGGTACGGAAGCCCATTAGCGTCAAACAAAAAATATTTTTCGAATTCTTCCTAACAGATTCCCAATCCCCTATAACGGATTCGCAATCAAATGCAAAAAGCGAAAAATTGAAATTGGATGGATAGACTTACAGCAAAGTCTGCAAACCTCAAGGAGGAGGACTAGGCCACTTTCGGTATCCAAACAATATGGTAAGGAGGATTTGTTGAAAATATCCCTATAACTATTTTTTTAAGGACGGACAGTCCGCCAAAGGAAAGACGATTTGAGTTTGAGATGTGAGACAACAGAAAACCTCCACAGTCTCTTCCGATGTCACCGTAGGCAGCTTATATGACTAAACAAAAAATGCCCGCACTCAGCGCGCGCGTTAAGCTTAAAACCAAAAGAAAAAAAACAACATAGTATTAGAAGTTAGAGAGGGAAAGGCTACTTTTTTAAGTTTCATGAAACTTTGGTGCACTGGTACAACAATTAAGTTGGGTATTCAGAAAGGTTGAGGAAGAAAGTACATGTGCAACAGATTTTACATAAATGCATGAATATTGCTTGTAATGAAGGTATTGATACGGCATGGTTGCAGTTTTTAAAATTATTATGATCGTTGGTATAAATGAAGACCTTCGCCTGCGTCATGTGGGACAGAAATAGCCCTCTCTGCTCAAACACGTCCCTGGCACACGAGTAAAAACCGTTCAAAGTACATTTACTCTCACATTTCTATTTTATCAAGTTGAACAGGTACATAAATACAGTTGCGGCAAGGCGTAAATGACTATGGGACGTCCAAATGGCCCTGGCGATTTCGTGAGGACGAGACGAGGTGGGCATTCCACTCTCAAACAACTGTGTCTAGCTCTTCCTGGAAATCCCAGAAAATGAAATACATTAATTATTAGGGCATGGATAAAGATATACGGTGAACCGAATTAAAAGGACCACTGCGTGTGAATGTGTACCTTCCGTGCCGATCATTATGCCAGCATGCAGCTGAGTATAGAGCTGACTCCTCACAAAAGGGACCATCGGGGTGAACAATATAACGTGTTGAACATTTAAAAAATTTCCCAAATTCAAAATAAAACTGGAGGAACTTGGTGATAATCACTGAAGCACTGGACCAATCACTGAAGAGCCTAATGAAAAAAAAAACCACTTTACTTGCAGTGTTAACAATTTTTCTTAATTAATGTCAGGAGCCGCGAGTTGCAGACCCAATGTGATGGCTGCGCCGGGTCGCTCGACACTGGGGGTTGAAGAGCTCTACTCTTCTCGGGAGACAGACTCAAGTGGACTCCGGTGAATTTTCATATCTTTTATTCAAGCCTCCAGAATTTTACAATCAGGCGTTGTCAATATTTGAGCAAAGCAAAAGAAATAAAAATAACCCCTATAGGAAGAATGGAAAATAACAATGTATAAGTGGTGTTCTTCCTAATGTACATTGAGCAGATATCTAGCAATTACACGTTGTTATGGGGAAATTATACCCCCTTACAACTGAAGTACATGTGAGCAATTTCTATAAGGATATTTTTGTAAAGTTTGATACCAGACATCTTTAACTCACCCAATACAGTAAAATAGAGAGTTACAAATTAGTCGCTCGCCGCTCCCACTCCCTGTCACAGAACAAATGCCCCCAAGGGAATAATATCAGGTATTGCGGCCGCTAGCCGAATAAATCAAGCGTTTCAGAGAGAGATCGCAGAACTGTTGTATTACATTGGATAGTTTACTTTGTTTACATATTAATACACTGTGGAAGAATTCCTCTTACAGAAATATTTGGCCTGGATGTGCTTTCACATTCTCAAGTTATAAAGTTCGAGGAATTCAATCAATAACTCATTATGGTCCCAACCAGGGTTTATGGAGTTTTAATGATATCAAATAAAGTAGCACTATTTATGCAGCGGAGGTTCACCAGGAGGTTTACGTACCGATTTCTGCATAAATTAATAATAAGTTATTGGCCGAAAACAATTATAGAGGTCGCCCTCACTAATTTGCGGTCTCCGACATTAAAAAGTAATGATAGATTAACCTGCAATGTAGCCCCAAATTTGCCAACAAGTAGGCAACAAGTAGGCACTAAGACAGCTAGGCATTATAATCTTGGGTAGCCTTACAACAGAAAATTTCGACAACGAATCCCGGTTACGTACACTGACCGCAGGGGTGATCTGGGTATCTCGTATGACAGTCTATATGATACATTTTATGCCATCATTTTGGATGGAACACACCTGAGTAATGTTCATGAAGCAAAACTGAATCAACGAAATGTCCGACAAATCCTCGTTGAATTAATTCGCCGTTGTCTTTCGGTTCATGAAATAATTTTATGTTCATCCAAAACTGCGAACAGTGTTTTCGCTAGATGCTCCACCAGAGCCCAATCCGTTGGTTGTTCTAACTGCTACCAAGAAAGACACCTTTTTTTCACCAGCAAGTGTATCACAATAGTTTCTTTGCAAAAACATCTGCAGTTGCTGTATGACTGTGTTCTCATTACCTTGAAGTCTGCCCTAATTATCCTCGTACATCCTCTCCTATCTCGCACTGCTTGCATGTAATAACCTGCCATAAATTTTGGGTCACTGCTTGTTTGTTCGCTTTTATTTATTTATCTCGTCGATCGGAACCGTTAATACATATTTCATAATGTTAGAGTTCATCATAAGAATCGATATGCCACATATAGTTAGGGCCTCTTACTCGGTACTCTCGTCTCCGGTCTGCAGCCTTTTCCTTGCTCTGCACCGTACTCCATCGGGATCTAAGATTCCTAAGAGATGACAGACTGTTTCTCTGTCGACATTTATTCCATTCAAGTTTTGATGCATTTCAAATGCACCCATCGATAGCCATGTAAGCGTCCTGACTTCTGCAGTACTCTTTAATCATGGAGGAATTAAAACATTTAAAAACAAGCTTTAATAAAGCAAGCAACTTCCAGAATGTCGGTAGGACTCTTTTGTCGAAACAAACCCATGCCTCTAAGTTTTCGCTGAACAGTTCGCCTGCTCAGTAAAATAATTATGATTTGCTAGCAGCGACACAAGTATCTCTTCATGGTTAAACCCTAGCCCCACAAATAGGGCAGTGCAGTGGCTCTCTTTTACAATCTGTCTCTTATCTGTCGCACAGAGCCACTACAGCCCTATTTGTGGGGCTAGGTTAAACCCTAAATCGAAATTTACACGGATGAGTCATTTTGATGGGAAAATGGACACAAAAGTATGAATCAATATCGGATTGGGAATCTGTTGACAGTGGGAATCCGTATGACATAAAAAATAAAACAGAAAAAATAATTCAGAAAGTAGCCTCC